GCCACGGTCCTTGAACGACGTACGGCTTCTCTTTGGACACAAAAGTGCCCGTGACCGACGGCGCGACTATCGTAACAGCCGAATGGGACAATATAGATTTGAACGTAAAATGCCTCCCATGCATCACACGGCCCCTGTAATATCAATATTACATTATTCATCGAACGTTGCTGTTGCAGCTCTGCCGCACGAATTTCAATTCTGTCATGACTAACTTTATTGCCAACGGTAATAACGAGCCAGCTTCAAGATTGAACGTTAGATGTAGTCCGGGCAAAGCTCTAATACTATTTTCGTCAGAAACGTTGGCGTCCTGCTGCTCACAAGGCGACAGTCTCTCTGTCTTCACGATCGGCTTCACGTCTTCGTCGTCATCGGAATCGTCCCTTTTCTCTCTGTATCTCTCCGTGCTTCTGTCGTTTGTTATTTGCACCCACCTACACTCAAATAATGCCCGTATTAAATTAGAGATTGAGATTGAAATTGAGATTGAAATTTAACCAGAAGAAAATATTAAATTTAGTAAACTTACTTTGCTTTGATAAATTAAATTCAATCTCAATCTTAATCTCTAGTCTGATACGGGCATAAAGCTACGGTCTTAAACCCAAATTCCTGATTCTATTGATCAGTTGTCATCACTTACCAACATTTGGCGGACACACCGCTAGTATTTGACCCATCTCTCTCAATGCCGCACTGTATTTTCTCAGCTATGGAAGGATCATCCTCCATAGCGGAATGCATTCTTCTCATGTCGGTGACTAACCACGGGCCACAGCCCCTAGCGCTTCTTAACAGATTAACCACACCCAGACCGTTCCAGTGTTGAGCTGCCTGTAGTTCCTCAGAAGTAACGCCAACGATTTGAACAAACGAGACCTATTTCCAACAATATAGGATCGTAACGATGCGACTCACTTTCGCTATTTGAAATATATTCTCTTTTTATTTAATTTGCGATTTAGAGCTAAATATAATAGCCAAGTTATAAATTTTATTTATCTGTAGAAATCTTAAAAATCTGAAAACCATTATATTTTAGAAATACGGGTTTGAGCCTTTCGTACATACATCGCCGTGGGGTGTCGAAATTGATGTCGGAAGCTGCGGGTCCTGTCCCATCAAAATCTGGGTGATACAACCGTTTCCACCGTCCAGTGGAGCATGCCAGGAGACATGGTCGCCTGGCATCAACGTGTTCCCGGAATTAAAAACATATTTGGCCAATTGCTGCATCACGTTTGCCGGCCACGTGGGCGGCGTCGTCTCGCCCCTTTCACGAGCCAGACGAAAGGTCAACTCGAAACCAAATCCGCTGGGACGGCCTGGGCCAGGTTTGGGATGTAATCGACCGTCGCCGTGTAAATCGGACAATCCTAAACTGTATTTAAATAAACGGAGTATAATGTAAATAAGTGTTTCTATATCACGTTTCTTTTGATATACTCTTATTTTTAAAAATAATTTCTGAACATAGTAATAAAAGTCAAATAGCGATGAATGAAGGGAAGATTAAAAAAAATATATGCAAAAGAGAAAGACTGAACGATATCTTGCAAAAAAGTACGTAGACTTTCCGTCAATGGCAAAGTATAATTAGCCGGCGCAGACGAAAAAGGGGAAGTCCGGCGCTTCTATTTCCGACTCCCCGCGATTTAAACGACTTTGTTCCTCCTGCACCCTACATGCTCTCTATATATAGAGAAGCACGGAGTAGTATTAGGACAGCTGTCTGAAATTGAAGAAGCGAGGGTCGCCGGCGCGAAGAAAAAAGGGAAAGGAACCCGCACCCTTTGGCGGAAGATCATTCGTCATTCCGCATACAGATTCCAATGAAACATCGGAATGAAACGGTAGCGTCTACATATCGCACATCTGCCATAGTTTGTATTCACTTAAACTTAACGAACACGCAAGTCTTAAATTATATCCCTTATTTCATCCAAGCGCATTCTAAACAATACATTAAAATCTATGTAGAAAAATACAAAACATACAAAAATCTTCTGACGTTAAAACTGTTATATGAGGTACTTCAATTTTAGACAGTCCAAGTTTCAAAGAATATAATCCCTTGTTATTCCCTAATTGGGACAATTCCCCTGCACTTAAAAAAGAAAATAAATAAATAAGAAAAATCTTTTTCAAGTCATCTTCCATGGGTGCATTCAAGAGGAAGGTTTGGAGGTTCAACCTTCTTCCTCAAAATTTATGATTAAAAGTTATATGATTAATAAAATTCAATATTTTCCCACTAAAAATCAGGAACAAAAAGAAGACATTCTAAACTCTAAAATATCTAGAACAGTAAATAACATTAACATAAAATATTGCTGTTCATATGATAACAGAATTGATAAATTTTTATAAGATTATTTCTTATAATCCTCTTAGTTAAATTTTAAATAAGACTGCGGCAAATAAATTACTCACTCTAGGTCTTTAGATTCGAGATGAGTCACACAAACTGGAGTATCCTGTGAATAGATCTTAAATTTGACACTAGTGTAAACATATTCTTACCTGATATAATGCCAATGTGGAGGTACTCCGAGGTCGGGATATCCTGAATTGGCGTACATGCTGATGTAGTCGAGGGGATCAGGTCCTCCTAACCTAAAGGGTAAACTCAAGTCAGCTGACAGGATATCCGGTTTTACGTATGTAAAAGGGGAGGCTAAATATAGTCGTTGTAATCGCCTTTTCTCGCGAGGGTGGAGTGGAAAAATCGAGTTCCCATACTTCTCAGAGAAGCGTATCTCTCGTATAACGATTTAAAGCAATTTCAGTGCATTGACTCGAAGAAAATTGATACAACACTTCGCAGAAAATTTTATCATTCTACCCGATAGTCAAAAAATAATAGAGAGAATTATGTACAAAACCAAATTAAAATCGGATAAAATAAAATTAATAGCACAATAAACACAATTAAGAAAATATTTGCTAAAAGGCTTCAAAAGACACAAAATTAATTAATCGAGTATCTAGGACATCAATTGCCAAGCCAAATATCCAAGCCACCTGTGACCCTCGATAAAACGAACAAGTCTCCCTCGAGACGTTCTTCGAGAACAATCGGCGTCGTCGCCGTCGCCAGGTTCTTACCAATATTTCACGATCGCCGTAACTGTCAACGGATTGCTCTGGTCCGGGTAGATCTGCTTGCAGAGGCTGTGCAAGGCGTCCAAGCCTGGAGCTCGTGGCGACGGCGGCGGTGGTAGCAGCGGGACCTGGGCCGGCTGGCCCGGTAGAAAACACCTCGATAACTCCTCGCGTTCGCGCATATTCACGCCGTACATAAAACTCCGATGGTGCACGCCGAATATACCCGCCTTTGTTTACCCGCAACGATCGTACCCGATGCTCACGCACGGAACACACGAACACACCAGCGGGAACAGCACTGAACAGCACTGCAAACAAAAGCGTGATCGTCCCCCAGCGCGTGTAACGTAGACGGGTGATCCGCACGGGAAAGGGAATCGGCCTCGAAAGCAACGCTTCCTATAGGAGTTTAAAGTTACTAAGCTGTCAGCAGTGTCAGCTGGTGTCAGCTGGAGCCTACCGTGTTTAGGTTAAAGAGCGCTTGTTCTTTTTTAGTAGAATTTCTGAAAAAATTTTTTAAAATACTCCTCAGACTTTTTATACAAATAAAAACACTTTTCGAAAATGCCAACAAAACTTATATATTTTCTAAGATTCTTCATATATACCCAGATAGAATATTTATGATAAATATTTATTGATATTCATTTTTTGAAATGTTATACAGATATTTCATACATATTTTATATACTTTATTCGAAATATTATTAAAATATAGACTGAATATTTTATGTAGTATTTATGATAAATATATATTTCTAATAAGTATTTTTTATTTGGATTATAATGTCTCATTAAGTATGTTCATAACATTTACTACAACAATCACAATAAATATTTCATAATATTTGTAATAAATGTTTATGATCTGTGCAATCTAAGATCATAAAAATATTTACAAAATATTTATAAATATTTTATAAATATTGTGTACTGTGTCTGGGTATGAATTCTGAGATATTTCAAGATTTCCAAGATTAAAGTTTTTTTAGCTGAATTTTATGCAGGATTCAGCTCTTCTCTTTTTCTTTTCACGTTAAAGAGAAAAAGAGAAAATAACCGTTCAAAAATTCAGCTAAAAGAATCTCTTGGACATCTTGGAATATTTCAAAATTCACATATATGAAGATATTTTCAAAAAGTGTTTCAATAATTTGTATCGAAACACTCTTTGATGATGATTCATAAATCACAATGAAAACAGTTGCAATAAATAAGCAATCGTTTGGCAGAGAAAGCAGTTTTGCAACTGTGTAAAATTCTTTATAATAATTGCAGGTTCTTATCCTTAGTTCCCCCACTAGATTTAAATACCTATATAAACCAATCATATTGAAAAAATCTTACAGTTGCAAACCTGTTTCTGCTGAACGCAACTTGACACGACCACGTTCTATCGGAGTGAACCAGAGCGATCAACAATGCCATCGTTCTTATCCTTCTCTCGATGCCTCCAATGGTCCATTGACGTTCCGTTGCTGATCACGTCATTTCACGACCTTTTTCTAGAAGCTTCTCAGATGCGCCACTGAACTTCTCGACCGGCGCTCCTGCCATTCTCAGTTTGTGAATCGGAGTAAATCAGTAAACACCAGGTGGTGTCCTGTGTCCCGAAAGGGACGAGTATCTCGTATAGGAAAAGAAACGAAGGAAGAAAAGAAGGAGGTGGAAAAGGAGGAGAAGTAAACGCGGGGACGGCGTCGAGGAGATCGTTTCCGCGTGCCACCACGGGGGCTTGCTTAGGGTACACGTCCGTGGTGTTCGCATATGCCAGTTCGCAGCAGCTTCGGTGGCCGGCAGCGTGAGCAGCGGATCTGTGCGCGCAAGCGTGACACGGGATTTACAGCATGGCGGAGCGCAGGAAAAACAGGAAGCGCAAAGATGTAAGCATCGCATATGGATGAGAAGTCGTGACGGCACGTACCTCGCTAACTGTACGTCGTGATCGGCCGATGCTAAGCTCGATTCGCATCACGCGAATCGCTCTCGATTTGTCGATTTGCGAAACGTGTCATCACTGATAAGAGCGACTGATCCGAGTGACGTAGACAGATCTCGAGATACTTCCTACGTTCCTATTCTTTCGTTCAGGGTCACGGAACACGAAGACGATCGCGAATTTACAGCTCACATCTCCCCTCGTGTCCGTCAGATTTGAGACGAACACACTTCCCTGCGTTCTTTCCTTGCTGAAGTTTTCTTCATGAACCGTCTAACGTTGTTATTGTTTTTGTAACAGGAAGTAGCCAGTTTGGATACTAAAGGCGCTCAGGACAAACCGTCCAAGGAAGAGTACGCGGTAGCTAAGTGGATCCGCAATAATGTACCGTCGAAGAAGACCAAGTTCGATAGGACTCACAATGTTGAGTACTTCACTGGATCGCGTGCAATTGACGCTCTATTGGAAAATTCACCCTGGAGCACAGTGTTCGAGAACCGTGAGCAGGTCTCCCAGTTCTTGGACCTGATGCTCAGACACAAGTTCTTTCACAGAGCCAAGAAGGTAGTAATTTCTGAAGAAGAACTTAACAAAATGCGAGGCATTAAGAAGAAGACTACGAAAGAGGACAAAAAAGCCACAGATAAGGAAGATTCCAAGGAAAACAAAGATGCAGTTGTGGTGAAGGAAAAGGAAGAGAAAGGCGAAGAGAAAATCGACGAACGGAAGGAGCATAAGAAAAAGCCAAAAGTAAGTGTGAACTTTCACTCGTGTTGCTAAAATTTTCTTCTTTTATCTCTTAGTAAATGACTCGTTTATTTTTAGGTGAGACTAGAAATGCATATGGAACAGTACTTTGTGGATTGTAACGACGCGTATGTGTGGATATACGAGCCGATTCCTGTATATTATTGGTTCTTTGGTACGCTTGTAGTCTTAGGTGCAATAGGAGTCTGTCTCTTCCCACTGTGGCCCTTGACTATCCGTCACGGAGTTTATTATCTAAGTGTCGCCGCTGCGGGATTTCTCGTATTTATATTAGCACTGGCTATTATTAGAATGATCGTATTCTGTCTTCTGTGGGTACCCACGTTGGGTAGATGTCATTTATGGCTGCTACCTAATCTGACAGCCGACGTTGGCTTCTTTGCGTCCTTCTGGCCATTATATCAGGTTAGCAGTTGATTCTCTTCCTTTGTCGGCAGTGATAAACATTTAAATTTATGGTACAAAAATATCTTTACAGTATGAATATTATGGCCCCACGTCGGACGGCGATAAGAAGATCAGCAAAAAGAAAAGAAGGAAAGAGAAAGATTCTGATTCCGAGGATGCGCCATTAGTTCAGTAAGTTTTGAGATTCATATTTGATAAAACATTTTAATATAATAACATGTATTTCTGATTCTATATTTTTGTGTTTTTAGAGAAGAGAAAGAACCTGTAGCAACGGAAGCGTCTAACGAGGAGTTAGCTTTACCTAGCGAAGAGAGGAAAACTTCGTCCGATTCAGCCGAAGGAGAAGACGGCAGTGAGGAAGGTTCGGAGAGCGAAAAATCTAATACGAGTCGAGATTTCGTTATGGTTTAAAACGTGAAAACTGGGCAGTAGATAGTTACATGTTTGCTGGGACAAACAGCTGTATTAATTGTCGCATTAATCATCACTAAAATCGATATGTGCTTGCGGTTAATTCGAATGTCGAATTCGATGCACGAATCTAAGAAACGGACCGTAGCAGATTCTCCACATTTATTGCATTTAAGGATACGATCATGAACGAGTGGGAAAAATCGCTTGTGACTTTTACATGGACAGAATTTTCCGTAACTGACGTGAATGTAAAGTATTGTCTTTAAAAAAAAAGCGTAAACGTGATATAAGGCATATTTTATTCTATATATATATATATATAAATATCTATATAAACATATGTGTACAATGAAGAAATCGTATTAGACATAATTTCGTTATCAATTTCCGTTGAATAAATTATGGTACTGTTCGAAGTCTTCAATCTATCTCAATGCGATCAATGTCTACCGACAATGTAGTTAATATGCACCGTGTTCTCTCCGTTAGATATAATCTTTGAATCTAGGGAGAACTAATTTAGCTGGAAGAGATGGAATCTTTACGGGTACAGAACTTGACGTTTTCTTCGTTGTTCGGCGATTTAGCACAAGTTCCTTTTTAGCAGAAATTAGGCCCGATTTTACAGATGGATGTATATTCCGAGTTTAATACAGATAATTTATATTTTTATGCGAAATTTCCAATAATAATTATTGTTATTATTGCTATTATTATTATATTATTACTTTTACGATTATCATTATACGATTATCAGGATCTGTAGGTCTTGTGGATCCGCTCGTGAATTTATCTATATGGAAATAAAAACAAAATAAAATAAAGCGTTATATATCTATTAAATGGTCATTATTTTGACCTGCAATCCCACGTTAGATTAAAGTTGATTGGCCTTGAATGTCATCTTCTGCAGCATCGCGTTGCACATAGCCGCGTAAGGATTCAGAGCGACCAGTTGCGATTTAGCGAAGCTCGAACCAGCTTTAGCCGCACGGGTGAAATCTTCCCTGGCCTTGTCATCTTGCTCCATCCAACGATAAAGAGCACCACGTTGACAGAGTGCTTGAATGCCTACCCTTCCTTTGCCTTCGCTCAGTTCTACCGCCAGATGCAGATCTTTTAATGCCTCTAAATAACAATTTGAGTGATAATCAAGTGTTATAATTCTCTTCCTTAAAAATTTTTATAGAAACTCATTTTCGTAACTAAAAATACCTTTGTGTCGATTTGCCAGACGTAAAGCTTGCGCTCTGTCATTTAAGATTGACGGCGATTTAGGTGCCTTCTCCAATGCTTGGTCGAAAAGTCGAAAACATTCGTCAAAGTTCTTCGCTTCCGCGCAGACTATTGCTTTTTTTATGATGTCCAGTACATCCGATTCTAAGCGATCCTCCTCGAAGACATCCGTCTCTTCTTAATGAAATATTGAAAGAGATGTGTGTATTACGCATAATATATATAGAAAGATATCTATAATTGACACTCCAAATATTTCAATTGTTATCCATTTCAGAAGAAAATATCTCAAAAATTTCACAGTTTTATCATGGAAATATAACGTAAGAAATTTTTTAATACGTTTTAGTAAAAGATTAATGTTAACTATTTTTTTTAAATGAAACCATATGATTTTTCTTACATAATACGATTCTAATCATTGTGTATATATTAAGGATACGATCATGAACGAGTAGGAAAAATCGTTTGTGACTTTTGCATGGACAGAATTTCCCGTAACAGACGTGAATGTAAAGTATTGTATAATAATATATTGACAATGGAACTTTGCCTGTTTTGAGGATTGCAAATTGCAGATATACTAAAAATAATTATTGTTTATATGTCACAACCCAATATCTAAATATTTAACTCGTGAAATATTAATTCTTCTCGACCTTTTTTTATTACTTTTACAAAATAATTGGCTAAATTAATTAATATAAAGAATACTATTATATACATATAGCTACTTTTAAAAGAAACTGTGAAATATGAATATTACATAATTATTGTGTGTCTATGTTTATTTCGATATGACACACTGCAGTTTATAAGAAATTGAATGACAACGTAAAATTTCCATATAATTTTATTCACTCCGCAGACCGTAGCCTTGAAGATACAACAACAAGAAACTTTATCTGTTTTCACATCGTGCAGTTCCTTGCATATTCATGACGATTTGAATGTCTCGCGTGAGAATGGCTCGCGCCGGAATATACTTCGCTTCAGACGAATGCGGTTACCCGCGGGCTTTAAGCGTTCGCGAATTTTTCGAGCGATCTGAGAAGTCTGCGGTTTGAATCGCGTCCAACTAGTGTAACAAGTGTCTCGACTACATCGTCATTAAGATTGAATGGCAATCTTGGTTTTAAATCGCGCTTGACAGAGAATTAAAAAGGACCGTAAACTATATATTTTTCAGAATTAAATTGGTGCACTTAAAATTTATGAAGAAATTCTGATTCGTATTTTTTGATCGATTATAAATAATAACAATTTTATTATTATCTATAACATCTTATCGTAAAAAGAAAGTTTGTCATTTTAAATATTTTGATAGATATGCTCTTAATAATTGCGGAAAAAATGATGTATTAATAGCATTACTTTGCCGGCAGTCAAATTGAAAATATCTTATTGTTAATTCGATAACGGTATTAATGAAACAAATACGCCATGCTTTTGTTTTAATAAACCTCAGATATTTTTATAGCCTAACGGCGAAAAAATGTGAATTGTTGTAAAATATTGTTTTGGAGAAAAAAACGTTATATTAATTAAAATCTTTATTTTTTAGACATACTGTGGATAATAAACTATTTCACATATTCTGTTTAATATTTGTGTGTGATTTCCACTTTTTTTCAGAAAATTGTAATCAAATCCATATCCATAATTTATTCTCATATTATAAATAAATCAGAAAACGATCAATAATATACTATACACTATTAATAATAGTTTTTAATTAGATTGCTGTTAAATAATGCTGTTAACATTTATTTTCCTTGTACCGTATTATATTGCTATGAGTTACGTACCAATTTCCTGGAAAACCGAGAAGTCTGAAAAATCGGACGGACCGAGCGGCTGAAACGGATCGAAGATCGTCTTCAAGACAGCCTTATCGCCTTCGCTCAGACTCTCCATGATGTCGACTGAATCTCAATATTTCCATCGCGTTCGATGGAAACTCGTTTCTATTTATCTCACGTGAGTTAATCACATTGCGTCATAGATTAAACAGATCCGAAGAATGTCGTCCAACTAGAATGTCGTATATACATTGTTAGATATCAAAGGAGCAATGGTAATCCAATCGCTTGAGCTAAATAATATTTTGTTATTTTTAACTTCCATGTGAATCAAAATATAAATCGATCCATTTTTGTGATTTTTAATTTAAACTACGTGCATATTAACATATGCACTTAGTAAATAACTATATTTGAATCAAAAATACATACCTTTGAATTAAATTGGTTATTTCAAATTAAATTAAAAATATAATGAATAGGCGCAAGTGATGACTTACAGAAATAATTAAAAATAATCCTACAATATTTGGTACAAGAAAGGAAAATTTTGCTAAAGCATCTAAAAATTTAGCTAATTATAGATCTGAAAATAATTTTGTTGGACCATCCAAATAATATATTATTTGGATATATGTCCTATATATATACATATAGGACGCTGAAACTGGTTGCTAAAATGTCAAATCTTTTTTCATCGCTCATCATGCTTGAAATTCATACGTAATTATTTTGATAGTTCAAAATTATTTCCAGAGCTGTATCTGTTTAAATTTTTTTTAATATTTCGGCAAAATCGTTTCCGTGTATAATTTGACATTATGAATTTAACAGTATACGGATTAGTGGCAGATATTCTATTATGTACATGGATACAATGCAGAATCATATAGATTTTCCAGAGTACATTCTATTTGACACTCACAAGACTCATGGAATCGTTTCATCCTTGTTGTTTACCAAATGTTAAACAAGGACAAATTATGCTCGCGAGCGTGTAAGTGTGAAATGGATCTCCAGTGGCCGCTATTCAGCCACTTGAACGATTACGCAAGTATCAAGCAGCGAGAGAGAGAGAGAGAGAGAGAGAGAGAGAGAGAGAGAGGGGAAGAGAACGGATATCAATTCCAACTAATTCCGGCAAGAAGCCG